CATCCCCATCAACAGTGCAGGAGAGTTCCTCTTTCCCCACAGCCTCTCCAGCATTTGTTGTTGTTGGTTTTCTTGATCCTGGTCATCCTTTTAGGAGTGAGATGGAATCTCAGTGTGGTTTTAATTTGCATTTCTCTAATGAGCAATGATGATGAACAGTTTTTCATGTATTTATTTGCCATTTGTATTTCTTCATCTGAGAAGTGTGTATTCATCTCATATACCCAATTTTGGATTGGATCTTTGAATTCTGAGGGTCTGATATTTTAAAATTCATTATATGTTTTAGACAGAACTTTGTCTGAGTGACAGTTCACTAAGATTTTTTCCCAGTTTGTGGGTTTACTTTTCATTATGCTGGAGATCTCTTTTGACATGGAGAAACTTTTTAATAAGAGGTGATCCCAGTTATTGATTCTGGGAGGTATTTCCCATGCAATTTGATTCCTGTTCATTAATTTTCTACCTACCCCTATGTCTTCAAGGTTTTTACCCAATTTGTCTTCCAATAGATTTAGTGATTCTGTTTTAATATTCTTATCTTTGATCCATTTAGATTTAAATTTAGTACATGGTGATAGGCATGGGTCTAGTTTTAGTTTTGGGCATATGGAGAGACAGTTTTCCCAACACCATTTATTAAAGAGACTGTCATTTTTCCAGTGAACAGGTTAGGCCCCTTTATCAAAAATAAGGTGGCTGAGTGTGTTTGTAGTTGTGATTGTATCTTCTAATCTATTCCATTGATCTTTGGCTCTGTTTTGATTCCAGTGCCATGTTGATTTTACTGCAGTTGCTTTGTAGTATAACTTCAAGTCAGGGATTGTGATGCCTCCTGCCTTGCCTTTGCTGCTTAGAACTGTCTTTGCTATTCTAGGTCTCTTCTTGCTCCAGATGAATTTTAGGAGTGATTTCTAGAGATGTATAAGGTATGTTGATGGTATTTTTATTGGGATTGCATTGAATCTGTATAACAGTTTTGGCAGAATGGCCATTTTCCCAATATTTATTCTTATTCATGAGCAAAAGATGTCTTTCCATTTTCTGAGATTGGCTTCAATTTCTTTTTTCAGTGTATCATAATTTTCCCAGTACAGTTCTTTCACTTCTTTCATGAGAATAATTCCTAAATATTTCATTTTTTAAGTTACTAGTGTGAAGGGTGTGGCTTCTCTTATTTCTGTGTTAATGATTTTATTGTTAGTGTATAGGAATGCTATTGATTTTTGAGTATTGATTTTTCCTGGTACATTGCTAAATTTATTTATTATATCTAAGAGTCTTTCAATGGAGTTTTAGGGATCTTCTATGTAGAGTATCATGTCACCTACAAACAATGAGAAGCTAACTTCTTCTTTTCCTATCTTTACCCCTTTTATTTCTCTCTCTTGTCTAACTGCTCTGGCTAGCACTTCTAGTACTATATTAAATAGGAGCGGTGATAGGGAAATCCTTGTCTTGTGCCTGATTTTAAAGTAAAGGCCTTCAATTTTCGGCCATTTAGTATGATACTGACTGTTGGTTTGTCATAGATGGCCTTTATTATATTGAGGAAAAGATCATCTATTCCAATTTTCTGTAAGGTTCTTATCATAAATGAATGTTGTACCTTATCAAAAGCTTTTTCTGCCTCTATAGAAATGATCATGTGATTCTTACTTTTGGCTTTATTGATATGATGGATTACAGTTATTGATTTACATATGTTGAACCATCCCTGCATGCCTGGATGAATCCCGCTTGTGCATGTTGTATAATCTTTTTGATGGTTTGCTGCATCCTATTTGCAAATATTTTATTGAGGATTTTTGCATCTGTGTTCAATAGCAAGATCGATCTGTAGTTCTCTTTTTTAGTTTGGGTCTTTTTCAGGTTTTGGTACTAGAATAATATTTGCTTCCAGGATTGACTTAGGAAGGATTGCTTCCCTTTCAATTTCATTGAAGAGTTTGAAGAGTGTCAGCATTAGGTTTTCTTTGTATTGCTTGAAGAATTCTCCAGTGAATCCATCTGGGCCTGGGCTCTTTGTAGGTAAGGACTTAATTACATTTTCAATTTCATGAATAGAAATTGGGTTATTCATTGGTTTTACATTCTCTTCACCTATCTTTAGTACTTCATATGTTTCTAGCAATCTGTCTATTTCTACTGTGTTATCAAACCTCTGAGAGTAGAGGTTTTCAAAATAGGTGTTGATGATCTCTATTTCTATACATTCTGTAGTTATTTTGCCTTTTTTCACTTCTTATTGTATAAATTTGAGCTTTTTCTTCCCTTTTTAAAATTAGGTTGGTTAGGGCTTATCAGTTTTATTTATTCTTTCAAAAAATCAGCTATTCGATCCATTGATTCTTTTTATTGTTTTCTTAGTCTCTTTGCATTGATTTCTGCTCTGATTTTTATAGTTTCCTCTCTTCTTCTGGCTTTGGGCTTGACTTGCTCTTCTTTTTCTAGATGTTTGAGGTGTAACATCAGATTATTTACTTGTATTCATTTGGTTTTCCTGATGTGGGAAATCAATGCAGTAAATTTTCCTATGAGGATGGGTTTCATTGCATCCCACAGATTCCGGTAAGTTGTATTTGTATTTTTGTTAGCTTGTAGATATTGTTTCATTTCTTCTTTAATTTCCCCTGTGACCCACTGATTACTCAAGAGTGTGTTGTTCAGTCTCCATGTGTTTCTGGGATTGTTACAATATCTCTTATCAGTAATTTCTAATTTCATAGTGCTATGATCCGATACCATGCAAGGGATAATTTCAACTCTTTTGCATTTATTTAAATGTGTTCTGTGAGCTAATATATGGTCTATTTTAGAGAATGACCCACGTACTGCTGAGAAGAATGTGTATTATAATCTTGGATGGAAAATTCTGTATATGTCTATCAAGTCCATTTGTTCACAAGTGTGATTCAGTTCTGTTATTTCTTACTGATTTTCTGTCTGGTTGATCTGACCCTTGGTGTCAATGGTGTGTTAAGGTCTCCTGTTATAATTGTGTTGCTGATAATTTGGTTTTTCCTTTCTGTTAATACTGGTTTTACAAAACAGGGTGCTCTGGAATTTGGTTCATATATATTTAATATAGTTATCTCTTCCTCTTGAAGTTTTCTGCTAACACATATGTAGTTACCTTCTTCATCTCTTCTGCTCATTATTGGTTTAAAGTTCACATTGTCTGCAAACAGAATAGCTACTCCTGCTTTTTTGGGGGGGTCTTGTTTTTTGGGGGTCCTGTTGCATGAAGTATTGTTTTCCATCCTTTGACTTTCAGTCTGTGAGTATGCTTTTGGGTTATATGGGTTCTTGCAGACTGCGTATGGTTGGATTTTGTTTCTTGACCCATTCTGCCAGTCTGTTTCTTTTAATTGGTGCATTGAGACCATTTACATTAATGGTTATAATTGTTATATGTTGGTTTATTTTTGACATGTTATCTTTCTGCTGTTGCATCTTTATCTTTCTGTTCTGTTTAATTGTCTGCTTTGCTTAGTGGTTTTTTCCTAAGTGTATCTAAACTGTCTTTCAATATTCTTTGCAGGGTTAGCTTGGTGATCTTGAAGTTCTTCAGGTGTTCTTTGTCATGGAAGTATCTTATTTCTCCATCCATTTTGAAGGACAGTTTTTCAGAGTATATCAGTCTAGGTTGGATATCATTTTCCTTTAGGATCTGGAATACTTCACTCCATGCTCTTCTTGACTTTATTGTTTGTGCTGAGAAGTCTTCTGTGATTCTGATAAGTTTTCATTATAAGTGATCTGTCTTTTCTCTCTGACAGCTTTTAACATTCTATTCTTATTTAGCATTTCTGAGATGGTGATTATTATATGTCTGGATTTAGTTTTATTTTTGTTATGAATATTTGGAATTCTATATGCTTCACTGATCCTAATGTCGGTTGCTGATCTCATGTTTGGGAAATTTTCAGCTGTTACTTCTCTAAGTATGCTCTTGACAATCCTTTATGTTGTCCCCTTTTTATTTATTAATCCCTATCAATCTTATGTTGTTTTTCTTTGTGTCATCTTGCAGTTGTTGAATTGTTATTTCCTGATTCCTTGTTATTTTTAAAAGATCTTTCCTTTCCTGTTCACTAGCTTCAATCTTGACTTCGAGGTCTGAAATTCTATCTTCACTTTAATTGAGTTGGTTTTCTACAGCTTTCAGTGGAATTTTCGATTTCCTGTATGTCCTTTGCATCTGCTTTATGTATTCTGTTTTTCTTCTTATATTGCTTACTCAGTGATTCTATCTTTTTGTTTAGTTCCTCCAGTTTTTAAACTGTGTCTTCTCTAGATGTGTTCAGCATCTCTTTCATTTCTTTTATCATTTCTTCTTTTACCTGTGAGATTATTTCTAGTTTGAATTCCTTTAATGTTTCCCAGAGTTGCTTCTTTATTTCAGTTGCTATTATGTCTGATATTTCATATGTATCATGTATATTTTCTTCTATGTACATAGCTCCTAAGGTTTCTTGGGATGGGACGGGGTTTGAGATTGTAATTTGGTCTTTTGTTTTGTCATTTTCCTATATTTCTTTGCTTCAAGTGTTTCAGGTGTTATTCCAAGGCTTCCCCAGGGTCTGTTGGAAATCCTCTTCTATGCCCTCAGCTCCCAGGACTCTGGCCACCTGGTTCCCCAGATTGAGAGTGTCACTGGGGAAGAGGCAGGGCAGATCAAGACCCCAAGCTGGTCTAGTGCAGCAAGAAGCTGTGAAGTTCTCTCTGGGTCCAAGTGAGGATCCCAAACAAGCAGGCCTAGTGGATGGTGTGGGGGTCACTCGCCCCAGGCCACCCAGCCTCTGGAACTGGATGGCACCCACTTGCTTCAAACTCCAGAATCTGCCAAGCACAGCTGTGAGTGAGGTGGCTGTTGTAGGCTCACTCAGGGCCTCCTTACTGATTTAGTGCACCCGAAAATCATGAAGTTCCCAGTCTGCGGCCGAGCAAGGGCACCAAACTAGCTGGGCATGGGAGAAGGTGCAGGGGGCACTCACCCTGGGCCGCCAAGCTTTTGGAACCCATGCTGCCTACTTGCTTGCTTAGAACTCCAGATTCCACCAAGCATGGCTGGGAGTGGGGAGGCCATTGCAGGCCTGCTCAGGACCTGCCACGTTGTCTAGTCTCAGAAAATTATTAATATCTGCTTCAAAAATCTTTACTCACGTAGGCATGAAAACATAGATGAAATGGAAATATTCCTAGAAATATGTGAATTACCAAAGCTGAATCAAGAAGATATAAAAATGTTGAATAATCCAATATCAGTTCCTGAAATAGAAAATGTTATTTAAAACTTCCCAACAAAGAAAAGCCCAGGTTCTGATGGATTCACAATTGAATTCTATAAAAAATTTAGAGAATATAGTCCACAAATTCTTTAACAAAATTGAATGTGAAGCAATTCTCCCTGGAGAAAACTATTATTCTGATACACAAATGAGACAACAATCCAACCAAAAAGAACTACAGACCAATTTCCCTAAATACAAAATACTACAAAAAGATTATACACTGTGAATAAGTGGGATTCATCCCTGAAATTCTGGATGTTTCAATATATGCAAATCAATAACCCTCCATTGGGGTCAAACACAAAAATCACATGATCATCTCAATATATGTGGAAAAACTTTTGACAAAGTCCAACACATGTTCATGATAAAAACTCTACAGAAAATCAGGATAGTCCCCGTCTCAATCTGATAAAAGCCATCTATGACAAATCAATAGCCAACATCCATACTAAATCAACAAAAACTGGAAGATTTCCCTCTAAAATCATGAATAAGACAAGGTTGTCCACTATTGCCAGTCCTATTGAATTTAGTTCTGGAAATGTCAGCCAGAGCAATTAGACAAGAGAGAAGTAAAAGGACTAAGTGTAGAAAAGAAATAAGTGATATTAGCATTACTTGCAGATGATGTAATGCTCTACATAGAAGACCTCAAAAACTCTACCAAAACACTAATAGAGTTAGTAATAAAATTCAGCATAATTGATGGAAACAAATTCAGCACTCAAGAATCAATAGCATTCTTGTATACAAACAACAAAATTACTGGGAGCAAAATTATGGAAATACCAAATTTCACAGTAACATCCAAAAAATGACATACATAGGAATAAATTTAACAATGGTTGTAAAAGATCTATATGTTGAAAACTGTACTACCTTGGAAAAGGAGATGGAAGAGGACATCAAAAAACAGAAAAATATCCCTTGGTCTTGGAGAGGCACAACCAATATTGTGAAAAGTGGCCATACTTCCAAAACTATTATACAGATTTAAGGTAATTTCACTGAAAAATGCCATTAACATATCTCACAGATATAGAGAAAATATTTGTAAAATTCATTGGGAAATGAAAGAAACCTAGAGTAGCAAAGGCAATTCTAGGCAACAAATTCAAGGCAGAAGATATCACAATCCCTGACTTGAAATTATACTATAAAGCTACTCTGATGAAATCAGCATGGTTCCTACAAAAAAACAGACCTAAGGATCAGCAAAACATTAGAAGATACAAACATAACTACAAACACACTTAGCCACCTTATCTTTGACAAAGGGACCAAACATGATCACTGGAATAATGATAGCCTCCTTAATAAATGGAGCTGGAAACATTGACTTTTCACATGATGAAGATTAAAACTAGATCCAAGCCTATCACCATGCATTAAATTAAGGTCACAGTGGATAAAAAATCTAAATATTAAAATATAAATACTAAATCTGTTGAAAGACAAAGTAGTAGAAGTCTTGATGATCTAGGAGTAGGCAGAGACTTCAGGAACAAAAATCAAACTCGATGGGAAGTACTTCCTATGTTCAACAACTGGAATATCATCTTATTAGAAAGTTTTTTCATGTCAAAAGAAATGTCCAACACAGTGAAAAGAAAATTCATAGAAATAGAAAAAAAATTATCCAACTGTCCCTCACATCTAGAACTTATAAACAATTTAAAAACATCAGATTCATCAAATTCAAAGACCCAATCCAAAAATAAGTATGTAAGTTGAACATGCATTTTTCAGATGAAGAAATACAAATGGCAAATAAATACATGAATAAATGTTGAAAGTCACTAATAATGCAAATTAAATGCAAATTAATGCAAATCAAAATATTTAAATTTCATCATATTCCAAAAAAAAAAATGAATGTATCAAGAAATCAACCAGTAACAAATATTGGTAGGACTGTGGGGAAAAAGGACCCATTTTCCACTATTGATGAGAGTGCAGGTTGGTATAATCACTGTGGAAATCAGTGTGGATATTCCTTAAAATATTAGGGTTGGTGATTCTATTCAATCTAGCTATTCCCATTCGGGTGTTTACTCAGAAGAATTAAAGTATCAGGCCACAGTGATACATGCACACCAGTTTTTACAGTGATAATTTATAATAGCTAAAGCTTTGAAATAAGCCAAAAACCCATCAACCACAGAATGGACAAAAAAAGATATGACATTTTTATACAATGGAGTATTAGTGATAAAGAAGGATAAAATTCACCATTTTATAGGTAAGTGAATGAAACTTGAGACTATACTTATAAATGAAATGAATCAGATTCACATGAGTAAATATCATACTGTTATTTAACACATATCAAGTGTTAAAAAAACCTGAAAGAATAAGATCCAAAATGGACCATAGATATTGTGAAAATGAACGGGAAAGAAAGTGGTAAAAGAAAAACAAAACAACAACTGGGATGAGGAAAGGAGAAAAGAAAGAAGGGAAAAGATTATATGCATACACACACACATATATATATAATGTGTGTATGTATGTGTATACAAGATAGATAACTATACTACTAATCTGCTAGTTCATTTAAAAGAATGGTCTCTCTCTCTCTCTCTCTCTCTCTCTCTCTCTCTCTCTCTCTCTCTCTCTCTCTCTTTTGTACCAGGAGTTAAAATAGGGGCTGTGTGTTTGCAGGCAGGTGATGTGCTACTGAGTTAGACCGCCAACCAATTTTGAGTTTTCATTGTTTGATTGTTTGCTCATCTTTTCACACCTAAATCTTGTAATCTGAACAAATATTTTGAAGTTAACAGCATGCGATATATTAGCTGGTGCTAATTTCCTATTTTGTTATGAAACTATGCATCATTATTATCCCTTTTTTTGTTTAAAATAAATCACCAGGAGATGCTATTACACACTGACCACAATGGCTTAAACAAAAATAAAAATACCAGTAGATGAACAGAAGGTGTAGTATCTGAAGCTCTCTTATATTTATGAATGAAATACAACATAATGTAACCACACTGGAGATATCTTTAGTAATTTTTAATGAAGTTAAGCATCTATGTGACATATTTTTTGACATTTTAATTAGGCAATAGCAATAAAATCAGATAATCAGAAAAAGACACATACATGAATATTGATATCAGTTTTATTCATAACGGTATATAATTTGGAGCCATTCAATTATTCATAAATAGTTACAAAGATCTTTTAAATGCAATATATCCAATAGTATTCAAGAGCACTAATAAAGAATACCATTTGTGAAGGAAATACTACTCTAGACAACAAAAAATAAAATTCAAAATTATAATGCTGATATTAAGAAGCCTTAAATATAACAGTACACAATCTATGACTATATATACTTATATATCATATCACTATGTATAGCTGATATAAAATGCTAGAAATTAAAAAATTATCCTGTAACTATGTATAGTTGATATACATATAAAATGCTAGAAATCAAGAAATTATTTGTTACAAAAATAAGTAGGTAGTTGCATGTATGTGAGGGATGGTGAAGGGAAGAATGAACTGTAAATTGATTTTGTGGTCATAAATTATATATATCGTCAAAACTCTAACAAAATATACAATAAAAAGCTGCATTTTATTATTTGCATTTGTAATTATACCCTTACACCGTTTCATTTTAGGAAGAAATGAGACAATCTTCCTGTGTGTCTGTTCATAGTAAAAGGTTGAGGGTATTTCCACAATTTGGAAACAGCTTAGATATGTGCAAAGAACTCAGTTGAGAAGTTAGTGATGGACTAGAATTTGTGACCTAACATATAATAAGAAATTTATAGAGGGTGGACAACAGTTAGAATTTTGAGTTGAATATTCCTATTGTGTTTTCATAAGAGAAAAAATTTAAAAGGTAGCTAAAGAAAAGTGTTACGCTACTTTCATGATTAAAAGTGAATAGAAGTGCTAGAGATATAGCTCAATGGTATAGCACCTGTTTGTGAAGGGCAAGGTTTGATTCCCAAATAAATAATAAATAAATAAGAAAGATGTCAAACAAAAGTACAGAAAGAATTTTCCAAGTTTCTCATGAAAGGCAATGGCAGCAAAGTGTAGCAATTAGAGCCAAAAAGACGTTTCACTGAAATATTTTCCATGGATTATGGAAATAATTATATGAAGGATAAGATTTAAAACATTTCTATTATTCATTTAATATATCCAGCTATCTCCATAGAATTTCCATGTGTTGCATACAGAAAGTATTTCTTGCATTAATGTGCTGGCTAGAAAAATGTGGAACAAATTTTGACAGTAGGAATTTCTGTATTGCATTTGGTCTTAGAATGCATATGTTTTGCCTTCACTGAGAAAGAGATTTCTTAATAAAAAAAGATGAATAATGATGTTTCCTGTACAAAATCTGTCTATTCCTTTTTGATTAAAAATGTTGCCCCAGTGGAGAAACAACATGGCTGACTAGAGGAGAAGCCTCATTCAGAGCTACTCAGAGAAATTCAACTAAAACACAGGTATCTGGAAGAAAGGGTAGGGACATACAAACTGAAAATAAAATCAATTTAATGTAAGAAACTAATAGATTAAGCAAAACATAGATAAATACTTTAATAAAATGGCCAGCCAGCCTACTCTGCTCCTAGTGGATCACTGTATTGGGATGACTTCCCACCATGCTTGGAATCTTAAAAGAAGAAGAAAAAAGGATATACTAAAATAGTATAGTTAACTCAAACCTTCCAGGATAGACTT